AAAAAAAAAAAAAAAAAACCAAAACTTGAGAGGCAGTAACAAGTTACTTAACTTCTTTGAATTTCAGTTTCAAAATGGAAATACTAATACATACCTCTTCATTGTCTTATGAGCCTTAGCAATAGTTTATGTGAACTCCTTGGTTTATAATAAACTTTCAACAAATGGTAGCTGTGGCTGGGGATGGTGGTATTGAGAGGAGAAAAATGGGTAGGAGGTAGGCTTCTGAATTTGCTATTCTTGCCCTTCCTGATGCCATCTAATAAGGTTCTTGAGCGAAATATGCATAAACACAAGGCTAAGTAAAGGGACACCTAATTCTAGCTGGGGCTTTGTTTGGAAACCTGATATTGAGCTGCAGTCAGTGAGTGGTGATTTCTCAGTCATACAGCTGGCCTGGGCATCTCCAAGTTGCTGCGTTTGTCCTTGACTTTACCTCAGTTCTTTGCTCTGTTTGGTGTAAGGCCCATGTAGTGGTGACTCTCTTGCCCCTGTTAATTTTTATATACAGTATAAGGTAAAAGTCTGACATCATTCCTTTGTATGAGGCATACAGTTGTCCTAGTACCATTTGTTGCTAAGACTGTTCTTTTCTCATTCATTGGTCTTGGCACCCTTGTTGAAACTCAGTAGACTGTAGATAAAAGGGTTTCTTTCTGGGTCTCCATCCCATTCCTTTTTTTTTTTTTTTTTTTTTTGAGACAGAGCCTTAAGCTGGCCCCCTGCGTAGAGTGCTGTGGTATCACAGCTCACAGCAACCTCCAACTCAAGCGAGTCTCCTGCCTCAGCCTCCCAGGTAGCTGGGACCACAAGCGCCCAACACAGCACCCAGCTATTTTTTGGTGGCAGCCGTAATTGTTGTTTTGGCCGGCCCAGGCTGGATTTGAACCTGCCACCTTAGGTGTATATGGTTGGTGCCTTAGCCACTTGAGCCACAGGCGCCGAGCCCATCCCATTCCTTTCTTCTCAATGTCTATCTCTATGTCAGTATCACACTGTTTTGATACTATAGCAGGTACCTTTCTTTTTTTTGCAGTTTTTGGCGGGGGCTGGGTTTGAACCCAACACCTCTGGCATATGGGGCTGGCGCCCTACTCCTTTGAGCCACAAGACGCCACCCAGCAGGTACCTTTTTATAAACAGGATGAGGGTCTAGTTTTAGCACTGGAGAGGGATATAAAAGGATATGGACTGCTTTTTTGCCCCTAAGCAGTCATGTTTTTCCTGCCCCTGCTAATACTTTACCACTTTTCCTTTAAAAAAATATGATCCCGGACAGCGCCTGTGGCTCAAAGGAGTAGGGCACAGGCCCCATATGCTAGAGGTGTTGGGTTCAAACTCGGCCTTGGCCAAAAAGTGCAAAAAAAAAAAAAAAAGGCCCAGTGAATATCATTGAACTCAGTCAAATCTAGCAACTTGGCTATCATATTGCTTTTATTCCTAGACGGCAAGTTTCTTTTTTTTGTTTTTTTGAGACAGAGACAGAGTGCTATGGCATTGTAGCTCGCAGCAACCTCAAAGTCTTGGGTTCAAGTGATTTTCTTCCCTCGTTTTTTTTTTGCAGTTTTTGGCTGGGGCTGGGTTTGAACCCGCCACCTCCAGCATATGGGGCCAGCGCCCTACTCCTTTGAGGCACAGGTGCTGCCTACCCCCTCAGTTTTTTATTTTTAGTAGAGCTAGGGTCTCACTCTTGCTCAGGCTGGTCTCAAACTGCTGAGCTCAAGTGATCCACCAACCTCAGTCTCCTAGAGTGCTAGGATTACAGGTATGAAATACCTCGCCTGGCCAGGTGGTAAATTTCTTAAGTTTAGGGTTTATGTGTTTATATTTACTATATAGTGTTCATTGTGTGGATTCTTAATGATAGAAGGATGGAATTAAACCAGGACAAATTAGGAGGTTTGCTACAGTGTAAACTGCGAACATGGCATTGGGAAGAGTAGGGGGACAATAAAATAGGTAAAATGAGATTTTTAGAGGCAGACTGGGGTGAGAATCAAATGTGTAGAATAGGAATGAAAGAGTGAATTGCTTTTCTAAATATTTCCCCTGTTGTTACAAAAACAAATATTCCTGAGTTTTTGGTATAGTCTCCATTTCAAAGATTATCATTTACTGTCAGACCATGAGCTTAAATTCTTGCTTCCAAAACCATCAACCTTGCCTCTGTTGTGGTTTGCCAGGGAGTGTTTGCCATTGTGGAGATGGGGGACATGGGTGCTCGGGAGGCCATCTTATCACAGTCCCAGCACCGTCTGGGAGGACATCGTCTGCGTGTCCGGCCAAGGGAGCAGAAGGAGTTCCAGAGCCCGGCCTCCAAATCCCCCAAAGGAGTGGCCCCTGACAGTCAGCAGCTGGCCAAAGCACTAGCAGAGGCCCCAGATGTTGGGGCACAAATGGTAAAACTTGTGGGGCTGAGGGAGCTGTCTGAGGCTGAGCGGCAGCTTCGGAGCCTCGTGGTAGCCCTGATGCAGGAGGTCTTCACAGAGTTCTTCCCTGGTGAGTCACCGCCCTGCTGTGTCAGCCTACTCCGTGCTTCACTCCCTCATGTCTGTGTTGCAGTCCTCCATTGGCTAGAGTGTTTGTTTGATTGCTTTTCCATCTTTGTACCCTATTATGTTCTTCCACTTCCTTCCTTCCTGATGTCTCTTGACCCCTATTCTCTGTTTGGCATCCAGGCTGTGTGGTCCATCCTTTTGGCTCTTCCATAAATAGTTTTGATGTCCATGGCTGTGATCTTGACCTGTTCTTGGATCTGGGTGACTTGGAAGAGCTCCAGGTAAGTGGCCAGGGAGGCAGGTGGGAAGAGTCAGTGGGATGGCCATGTGACAGGTCCATTGGTTCCTCATGTGTAAAATGGGAATAATAGGGCTGACTTGAAAGGGTTGTTGTAATTGGGGAAATGCAAATATGGATTATGGGCTGGGCGCCTATAGCTCAACCGGCTAAGGCGCCAGCCACGTACACCTAAGGTGGCAGGTTCGAATCCCCAGCTCAGCCCCGCAAAACAACAATGATGGCTGCAACCAAAAAATAGCCGGCGCTGTGGCGGGCGCCTGTGGTCCCAGCTACTTGGGAGGCGGAGGCAGGAGACTCGCTTGAGCCCAGGAGTTGGAGGTTGCTGTGAGCTGT